AAATTCATGTTCTATTATGACATTTATTAAAATAAAATCAGAAATAAAAATTTAATTTTTTTAAAAAAAATTATAATTAGTATACAATTATATTATTTATTGAAATTTAATTCAGTCGTTTAAACGACCAAAATAAACTACCAAACTATCTCAATTAAAGTTAAAAGATAATGTATCAATTACAGTTTGACTCCTTATTTGATTTTTTAGTTTTATTCCAATAGATGATATAATTGTATATTAATTATGATTTTTAAGAAAAAATTAAATTTTTATTTTTAATTCTATTTCAATAAATAACATAATATAACAAGAATTTTGGTTGTAAAATTCATGTTCCATTATGAATAACTTATACCCCTTTTTCTAATAGATTATATAATTATATATTTCCCTCCCCCTCCTCAAAAAAAATAATTTTTTTTTAAAAAAAATATATATAATTATATATTAATTAGGATTTTTTAAGAAAAAATTATATTTATATTTTTTGATTTTATTTTAATAAATGATACAACAGAACATGAATATTTAATTGGTGTATTTTCTTCTAAGTATAACATTTTAAACTTTAAGATCTAAGAAAAATTTATATAATTTATTAATGGATATACAGTAAGAGTCTCAGTATTATGCGTGTATAAATCTCAAGAGAATTTTGTATAATATTTTTAATATCAAAAAATTCAAGTGATTAAATATTAAATTTTAGAACTTCTAAATATAATCCTAGCTAAATAAACAAGATGATGGGAACAGAGATTGTGGAGAGAAATAATGGGTCGGGCCGCGGGAGACTGACAACCATTGGTAAAAGATTGCAGAATCTGTCTGATTGATTTGCCACTATGTAAGGTTATCTGGGAACAAATTCAACTTTCCACTCAGCCCTCCTGTTGAAAACTGCTTTGTACCTTCACTCATTGTATTCTCATTTACTATCTCACATCTCATTTATGGAGATTTTGTCTACGGTATGGGAGAAAAAAAAATTGTATTATCATTTATAATTTTTGTGAATAATTTATTATTTTATAATAACAATTTTTATCATTTTTGTATTAATTGTTATCGATCTTTAAATGTTAGGAGTTACCACAAAAATAATAAAAATATTCATAAAAATTATAAAAATATCTACAAAAGTTATAAATCACCCACAAAAAATATAATATTTTTATTGTAAAATAACTCACAAAAATTATAAAAATACCAATTAAAATTATAAAATTTAGAGATCCGGTATCGATTTTTTTTTAATACCATTATCTTCTCCCGTTGATGGAGTATGAATGTTTGCTTTTGGTCTGGAACTTAAATGTTCAGTAGTATTATTGCCGATGAATAATTCTCAGATAGTACAAATTTTGTGAGGGGGTGCCAGCTAGCTTAGTTGATAAATTCTTTAGGTAATCATACCAAATACCTGGAGTATGAATGTTTGCTTTAGGTGTTCGTGGCATTGACATTTGATTTGACTTGTTTCAGTGTTAAGATTGCTCACACAGCTTAAAAAAACAAAAAAACTCACTTTCTTGCCGGAAGTGATCCGATTATAAAAATATAATACAATATAATTAACCGACACAAAATTGATATTAAGTTAAAAGAGTTTGAATTAGATTTTAACAAGTATAGATGATAATGAATGAACCTGTCAGATGTGTTGGGATTTAACACGATTTAAATTCACTAACAAACACACACAATTGAAGAACAAATCAAGAATATAAAGCAATAAGAAACAAGAAAGAATAAGACACAGATTTTATGTGGTTCGACAATTTGCCTACGTCCACGAAGTTGCAGGGATTTCATTATTGAGAGAGTTGAATACAGAGAGCGGCTTTACAATCCACAATAAACCCTAATCACCAAAACAACAGGGTTTATATGTCCTACGCACTGGACTATATAACGGGCCCAAAAATTTTTCTCGGGGGCCCCCACGAGACTTGTCCATGAGCACTACGGCTTGGGCCTATCGGTCCAAGCCTTCGCTCCATGAACTAAGCCTCAGAAAATTTTCTATTAAAAAATCACACAACATTACTTCGGATCGGATTATCATCCGAATCATATATACAAAATAGACTCCATAAAAAAAAACCAACAAAATGCATGTTCCAGTTATATGGCCTCTAGCCCTATTGCTATCTAAATCCCAAAATCGTGGTATTGATTAAGATACTTGTTGCGAATAGAAGGTGACTCATATTCATTTTGCCCAAAAATCAGTGGACGGAGGGAAAAGGAAAGTAGTAAAGAGTGTTGCATAACGTAAGATTTAGTATAACTAGGTTTTTTAGTTATATTGTAACGTTTTGGATTCTACTTTGTAAACTTCGCGTTCTTGATTCTTGATTGTTCACCGCAATGTATGTTCCCAACAATACTTCTGATAGCTCATGCATGCATTTGACTGGTATTACTATGAAATTACATCCGCAATGCTACTTGGCATGTTCAGGTCAGCCAATTGCATGTTAACTTGTTGGATGTTGCATTGTGCATGTCAACTCTAAGCCGTTGTGCCCTTCTGGGCTCCTGATATGACCTCTTGAAGACCTCCATTATTGTGAACTTGGTTTTTTGTGGGTGAAAGTTACCTTTGTTGTAACTAGTATCATTTTTGGGAGAAAAAAGGAAAGTGTTGCCCTACATTGAATTTCTAGTAAGTTTATAGCCCTGTGTCTGCTACCACGATGAAATAGTGGAAAACAACTTCTACCTGATTATGTTTTTAATCCAATGTTCCTTGGGATTAGCACAGGACATGGTCAAATTACGAAAATATTTCCTGTGAAACAAGCTTTAGCTTCATACTGAACTTTTAACTTTTTCTTTTCTTTTTCATTTTTGATGCATCAAATAAGCACTTCCTTGGAAGAAGTATGCTGAAGCATGAAATTTCCACCATAAAATTGTGTGTTGTGCCAAAAACAAGGCCTGGGGGAATACAATCAACTGCTGTTGTTGGACTAAGTTGTCAGTTTTTCTTTTCTCTGTTCAACTCACCTGGTTGAAACTGGCTCAATTTTGGACTGAGTTATCAATCCATATGAACAATCGTAGGTGCGTGAATTGATACGTCCTAAGCTGAGGCTACTTTTTCTTTCAAGCTGCATGTTTAATAGTGTCGTTCAAGTGATACCACCAGTAGGAGTACATAAACTTCTGCAATATGTCTGTGCATATATAGGATCAGCATGACAAACTGCTACAAATTCAATTTCTTACGAAAGGAAATGTTATGCTATTTAATACGTCTGTTGTCCAGGCTGTGCTATGTCATTTCTTGAGTTTTCTGCATGCAAAATGAAATGCATGTTCTCCCTTATTTTATGTATGCCTTCTTGGCCTCTACTTTCAGCTATGATTTTATTCGCTTCTCACCATAAATTTCTTTATGCGATTCTATCATGTTCTTATCATTTATGCCCCTGTACAACTCTCTGCAGGATCTTGATCTCACAAAGCCTGGTGTACGTAAACCATTCAAGAGGCCTGAGTTTGAAGTAACAACAGAGGAAGTACTGAGAAAAGCTGATTTTAGGGTGAGAATTTGGCATACTAGTAATTCTAATTTCTAATCCCAGGTTTTTGGTCAGCATCAGCACGTTTATGTTCTGTGACTGTATTAGTTGGCTTATGGTCACTTTTGACCATGGTGCATTTGCTCTAAACAAAATCAAGATGCTTCTTATCACAAATGATAATTTTCTTGTGTGTGGTAACAAATTACACTGCACTGCTGCACCAGTTATGTGATCAAGGTATGCACTATTACCCTGTTCTTTTAGCTGGCCATGTTTAGTTTAAGGTGACCTCACCACTTGGAATGTCAAACACCATGAATCAGCGAATTGGCTAGCTGACTGCTCTTCATTGCTTTAAGTTACTGAAAATAACAAACATATATGCACTTTCCTCCTCCTCCTCCGGTGCCCCAGAAATTGATCTCGTTTCCATTTACTTGATGAGTTTTTGTCTCTGGGTCCGGTTGAGCGACTTGAAATTTTGACAGGTGACTGGTGATGTGGTAAATGCAGTGGGCAATTAATTCTTTTCCCATCCTCCTTTCCTACCTGCTTCTCCTATAGCCCAAATTTTGTCTAAAATATTTCACCGGAATTAGTTCAGGATTCTTAGTTCTGGTCCAACAAGTTACTTTTGCGAATTTGTCCTCTATGTGCCTTTGTTTCAAGAATCCATAGTGAAATGTGAGCCTGTTTCTCAGCATAATTTTCCTTGTTCATCCTGTAGACCAGAATTAGCGCCAAGGCCCAAAGGAAAATTGGCAGGGAGATCAAGACAGCCTGAGCTTTTGGCCTAATGCCTTTCACCACGACGGGGACAAAACAGTTTGTTTTTGGAAAAACAATGAAGGATCTGGACAAGGATTATGAATATGACACCTCTGATTTTCAGAATTACGTGGATGCAGAATCAGATGAAGACCCTATTGTAACCTAACAATTTTATCCTCAAAAAGTAATTTTGGCTGCCAATATCTCTGAAATTTGGTATGTGAGATGAACAATATGATAACTATCATTCTGAACAAATACCGTTCTTTTGACTTGATGTTTATTAGAACGTTCTTTTTCAGTGTGCAGGAAAACCAAGCCTGCTTAACTACATACTCTTGAACCCTTGAAAAGTAAAGACACGAAAACACTCTTGAACCCTTTTTAATTGAAATCATCTACTAGTAGGTGGATTTATCCTCTGACAGGATGCAGCAAGTATGATTTAGCCTCTGCAAGTTTGGACTATAAACAGATTGACTCGTCAACCTCGTTTAATAAATCAGCCGAAGCCAATTCGAAGTCGGTCAAATACGATTTATACTCAAACACAAATTCAACACAATACCAACTCAATTATACATCCAATGACAAGTGAATCGAGTATAAATTGAGTAACTTTAATATTTGTAAACACCGCCTGAATTTGTTAAGAAGGAATTAATGCTCCCCCCCCCCCCCCCCACCCACCAAAAAAAAAAACAAAAAAACAAAAAAACAAAACAAAAAAAATCCTTCGGTTTGGCTTTATTATCCATGTCTCCGGCTATGTGCAACAATACTAATTATGTTAATTTTGAGAATGACAAAAGCTATAATCAAATTAGTTTGGTGGTGCATGTACACAAGCTTTCTAAGAACTCCTTCTGCTTCTTCCTCTTTTGTAAACAACTACGAAGCTGTGAAATTCAGAAGTCCAAGCCAATGGCTATAAGAGGTGTTTCTTATATTCTGGCAGAATGTCTATAATGCACACCCATAATATGTGACAATTGCCAGTATTGAAGGTCTGTAGTGCATAGTAATATCATATAAATCTGAAACCCATAAGAAGCCTTACAGATTTGAACCTTTCTCCCTTCTGATCATGCAGTGGAACACATCGGATCCCAGTCCTCAACTCAGCCAGTGGTAGACATGTTTGGCCACCAAAGTCAGGTGTTTTGGATGTGTCGTACTCCATAACCTCAATCCGAAGTAAAGCCAGTTCAGGAACAGTGAGTGGGAATTCAAACACCTTATCCCACACTGGTATCCACTGATCCTCAATTGCCGTAGTTTCCATCATTCTTGTATCAGCAGGAACTCCTGCAATTCCAACCTGCATATAGATCAGTCAGTGAACACATTCCTTTCTGCCAATTTTATGCTCCTAAATGAGATTGATTTCAATAAGAAGTTTTGAGTAGCATCGAGATGCTAAAATCATGTGTGAGAGAGTGAGAGAGAGAGATAGTAAAAAAAAGATATTCATGGTAATTAATACTTTGTAAACTTACTTCTAGTGCGTACTAATTCAAAAAAAAAAAAACTATAAGCTGTAGGTGGAGCATCGTCAAGTGTCTCAAATTTGACCCAACATAACACTATTTAAGTGGCATCAAAATTGAAAGGCAATGACCATCCATCAACCATTTGATGTATGCAGATGACCTGATAATTTTTTCCAGAACCTCTTTGTAAGAAGTTGCAGCCATCAAGCAATTCTAGGAGCAATATGAAACCTGGTCTGACCAACAAGAAAATAACACAAAATCTGGCATATCTGTTAGCCCCAATACAGCCCCACAGATAAACTTAACCTCAACTTGGGTTTGGGATATGCAGCGCCTATCTCCATGCCATAAACTTGGGACTCCTAGTGTTCCTATCAGGATCAAAGTCCGCTACAAGATGTATTTTGCAGGCAGAGCAACACAGATCAAATAATTCATATCAGCTCTGCCAGCATATTCAATGCAAGCCTTTTCTCTTCCCCTTTCCTTCTGTTCAAGGATTGATACTTAAGTGACGAGATTTTGGTGGGGTTCAATATATAAATGAAGATCGAAAGGAGGGTTAGGCTCCATCCGTATGCAGGATATTAACAAAGCCTTCCTTTCCAAAATGGCTTGACAAATCCAAAGAATGACTCTGAATGTGACAAATAGGCAGCCCTTAAATAGTGCTCCAGATCTTCCTCCTGAAAATGTTCAGGTCCATCAGTCTGATACAGTAATTTGGAAAGGCATTATCCAAAGCAAAGACAATCTTTGAGGGTAATTATAGGAAAATTGGAAATGGACAATATCAACATGTGGACCAAACCATGGGTGCCCTTCCTTCCCAATTTCAGAGTTACTCCAAAGAGCTAAGTGATCACTTCCCCATTTGGGTAGAAACATATTGACTGGAACAACTCCAAAATGGAACGAAGCCCTATTAAATGAGCTATTTCATCAGAACACGGTTCAAACTATCCTACAGATCCCAATGCCACAATTTCCTACGTAAGATTTCTGACTTTAGACCCTTGATACTAGAGGTCTATTCTCAGTCTCTGAAAATATGTTCAGGATATATATTCTTATTTCCCGAATGAAGCAAAATTTCAGAAAGGCACATCATGGCGCATCCCTGCAAAAGTGCTGCCAACAATAATATACAGATTGGTCTCTTCCTCCTCGAGGGAAATTGTAATCAATGTTGATGCTGTAGTCAGAACAACATTCATTTTTCTATAGACTCGAATGGGAGCATAACTGATATGTGGACCACATATTCCCCCCACTTGACCCATAGAGAGACCCTAAAATTTTTGAAGCTTATGCCCTGAAGCTAGAACTCCTGAGAGCTAGTAATGAAAGCTGCTCCAATGTTCACTTCAAAGAGGATTCCCAGAAATCCATCTCATATGCCACCTCTCGTGTCTCGTCTGTTCCCAACTGGAGGATTGCAAAACTTATTGAAGGTGTGATACAATTCATACAATGTCACTCAAACTGGAAAATAGCTAAAATTCACAGATCGTTGAATGCTTCATTAACTAGCTCAATGGGCAGCCATACCGAACTTCTCAGGTTCACTTCCACGAGAAAAAATCATGAGCACTGCCCAAGTAGCAGGAAAAAGACTGGAAAGAGTCTTCATCACCCCATCATAGTCCCAAATCACCTTATTTAAATTCAATTTTGTTGTCAATGTTATTCTCTGCTTTTGTTCTAACTTTAATTGCTGGATAGTCTTTTCTAATATTACCCTTGTATAGAAGTCTGGCGGTGAATATAGATCAAAGTGTGTATGGTGGAAATCTGAATGCCATCCTTCCCCCATATATATTTGTACCTGTTTTTAACAAAAGGCAACATAGATGCATTTCAAACCAAAATGGAAGGTGAGCATCACATAGTTAAAATTTGTGTCAGACTTTTGCACCTGCAAAGTAGTCTTAATTGGTAAAGATTCCCTGGGATCAAAATCTCTATTTAATAAAAGATCTGGTTTTTTCACAAAACCACAGCCACCATTGGCTCTGAACATTCCTTCTGTCACCCAAAGATGCTTTCCCTGTCCCTGATGAGGAAGAAAATAACTTAATAAAAAAGCACTCAAATAGAGTACAAGCAAATGTTCTGATCCATAATTTGCTTGGATATTTCTAATAAGTCACACACCAATGTTCTACTTGACTGAATGCATGAGTTGATTTATATACAACAAGGAACAATAGCTAATTTGCACAATTAGGACACACAAAAACGCTTTTGTGCCCATACCATTTAAAAAGTTTCCACAGAATAGAAATTTTAAATATCCAAACACATTATATTCTGCTCTCAACTTCTTTACCCAAAGCGCTTCTTATTTTAATCACCTACAGTTGATGCTGATTCAGAGAATGGCTTCCCTAATGACTCTTGTGATAAGAGGATAATCACATTCATTAGTATCCTGCCAGGGGAAATCATGTCTGATGGCATCAATATCCTGTGTGTTCTAACGGTCTTGTGAAACAGTGGATGCACAGAAGTGACCCCAATTTCTGCTTATGCCTCTTTACATTGCAAATATAAGTCTCTCTCTCCATCTCCAAGTACCCTAAAAATAATTCAAATATTATGGCTGTTTCCTAGACCTACCCATCAGAAACTGTAATTTGAAGCTCATGCAGTGGAGCTGTGTTTCTCTAGACATCTTCAATTTAGTTGTTCACTCAGAGTTGCAGCAATATTTGGACTTTTGAACAGTAAACGGGTCGTGCAAATATCAGATGGCATGGAACAGAATATTAGAGGCAAATGTGTTTGAGGGTTAACAATTGACTAGTATACTAAAAGTAGTCTGACCTGCATGTTCAATGCAACCATTTGAGCTCCATGCATCCAACCAACCAGAGGATTGTAGTTAGATGAGCCAATTCGTGTACCCTTGGGGTATATTCGCAGCAAATTCCTCTGGGTAAACCTAGAGCACCAACATGGTGCAAACAAATGGTAAAACTTCATAGATAACCATGTTACCAAGCAGACAAGGTAAAATCCTAAGCTATCTTTGCATGTCAGATAACCACTCGATAGCACATATTGTGCAAGTCTGGAGCATGATACTTGTATATGTACCTCACCTTATGGATGCTCAAGCCTCATAAATGAAGGAAACATACAATTACCTGTTTAATTGTAAATTTTATTAATCATGAACCTTACCATTAGCCAGTTGACATTATTTTTTTTTATAAGAAACACTGATTTCATTAAAAAACCAAAAATTACGAAGGACAAATCATAGTTGGACAAGATATCCAAAAACTAAGATACGAAAACATGAAAAAAAACAAGAACAAAAAAAAAAAAAAAAACTCATGCATGGGCATGCAGCAGCACTACATTCCACATGTTGCAATCCAACTCGAAATAATGCAAGAAAGAGGGATATCTTGAAACTCTTTAGCCATAGACGCCTAAAAGGAAGCCATAAAGTAAAGTCGTTCCCATAGTTCTTCAACCTCCTCACATTTGTCATAAAAAATCACCCAAACAATAGCATTACAAGCACAACACCAAAGGGTTTTTTATTTCCTATTCCCACCCTGCTACATCCAAATATATCATCATAACACAGCACTACGGTCAAAGACAAAATATTAAGTCTTCTTCTTTGAAGCACATCATAAGCATTAAGCTTACCATGAGTAATTATCCATACACAAATTTGCACCTTAAGAGGCACTTTAGATTCCCATATCACCTACGAAGGTGAAAACAACAGCATCAATGGATAATCAATTAAAGACAAAGAATCGTATGAATGAACCAAGCTAGGGATTCGCACTTTGATTGCCTGAGAAAGCCGTAGCCCTTTAATTGCTTAGGAGTACCGGCTTTATTTAGTAAAAGTCTTTTCTTGTTTGACGTTTTCTTATCTCGAGTTGTTCCCCGTGATACTTCTATGAGATTGTTTGCACCAGCTTTGGATTAAACAAGATTAACCATAAAATCGTTTGAAATGTTCCATAAAATTGTTTGAAACGTTCCATACAATTCTACTTGAATCCACTTAATTTTTTTTACTGATAAAATCCGTGCTCAAAAATAATATTTTTTTTAAGCATGGATATTTCTAGTTCAAGTGTATCTTTTATTTACCGTGAATTATTTTCTTGGTTAACAATAATTGTAATTTTGCAAATATCTGCAGTTCCTTAATTTTCTTTCTACACCATAAAGGACATAGGGTCATTCGTTGGTATACTATACTTGATCCAAAAGGAAGAAGATGAAACGAAGGAAAAAAATAAAAGTGATTAACTGAACATCCAATTACGGAAGAAAGATTTCACTATAATCAATATAGTAAATCAAAGTCATTTAATATTAAGTAATAAAATGATTTCTAAACTTTATTTCAAATCGTTGTACCGTATTTTAGTTAAGTATCTTGTAAAATACTCTTACCATAGATCCCATTTTCTATTCTGCCTCTATTCCTCTATGATTCATTTCATTCAAACTTGAAACTTGAGTCTCGCAGTTGTTGAATCTACTTTTCATATCCAAAGCCATCGTTCTTTGTTCATCTTCGGCTTCGTTGCCAAAGTCTTCTATGAAAAGCTCATCCCCATCATCCCTACCTCTCACAACTAAATCCGAATCCATTTTCACTCTTTTTGATCCATTCGACTTAGAACCCATGGCAGAATTTCACTTGTGGTCATTGGCATTGTCATCACACCTCACCGAATTATCATCAAGGGAATCTTGGATAACCCTAGAAGATGTCGCTTGAGAAGAACCATATTTTAGGCTAATACATTAGGCCTTTTCAGACCCAAAGCCCACTTTTCCCGCCTCTTTAATAATAACTGGACCCGACCTTTTAAGACCATCAAATGCACTTGTTGGATTTAGAATGAAAGAAGATCTCAGCCCACCTTGACTAGGCCTAACCCCTTGGGCTTCAAAGTGTTTAGTATTGCCCATTTCCTAAGAGCCCACCCATTTGGTTTTATTAACAAGCTGCAAACCCTTCTTCAAAGCAAATTTAAATTTAAAGTTAGCATTTAAACATCCTTTATCTCCTTTTCCTTGGTAATTAGTATATTCTCCTCCGCATAAACACCTAAATTAAAGCATTCTTATCGTTAATTGATATTTCCCTTTGACTTCCTTTCACAACATCTAACTTCTGTATACCCCTTCCTCCCGTCATGACACGTACCCCATCAACCCTATTTGCTTTATCTTCAACCTCATGACTGTAGAATCCTTTTTTGGTGTTATCTGCTCCAAATAATCTCTTTTGCTCATCACTATGGAACTTCCCTATATTATGGAAAACCCTAATTCTAATGGAAAAGATTTCCTATCAAACTCAATAGTCCACAATGTCCTCAACAGACCAAAATGGGGTTTATGAACCCTAAGCCTTGCTTGAAAGAGATTCTCACAATTTTCTATTTCACGATCAATTTCTATAAAACCACAACAATTTTCAATTTGTATAAAAACATCTCGATTCCACATATCCACCCATCCATAAACAACACTATGCTCTGGTTTGAATTCGATTCTAGACATTATTTTTTAAGCTTCAAAGTAACAGAGTCCAACAAAAACCTGTTTTTCTTCGACAAATTTTTTCAGCCCTCAAAATATTTGGACAAAAAAGATGGCCTTGTCAGCTTGAAAAGGTTTTAAACAAACCTTAAAATTCAAAATTTTTGAAAGTTTACACTGAATCAATCCCCAAGGGTGAAAAAAACATTCCTTGATGCAGACCACAACATTCTTCCATTTTTGAAATTCTTTATAGATCATTTCATCACCTTTAAGGATAGTAGCATCCAGAGAATTCTTTCTACTGTTACATAGCTGATGCATCTTTTCATTCTCAACCATAGCTTCTCTATTGTTATCCTTCCGAAATTGAGATTGCTTATGTCCATATAGAACATCCTCTAACAACCTTTCAATAATTTCTTTTGGAATAATCAATCCTATTCTCCTTCCATTATCATCACCTTAGAAACTCTAACAAAGTCACCAAATCTACTAGAGTCCATTTACATCAAAAGAAAAAAGCCATTACCTTTGTACTTTTTCAAGAACACATCCTTCCTATTCCATTGAATAACATTCCAGATAAACTCCTTCAGCCATAACAACCCTTCTTTATTGAACTTACAAGAAAAAGAACCATATTGATTACATTCAATAATACAAAAACACTCTCCAATCGACCCTTAGTCTTCACATAAAAACATTTCTTCTCAATCGAAACTTCCCCCATTCAAAAAGAATATTTTGGACCGTATCATAGTCAGTCGGTTGACATTATTGATTAAATATTCAACGCACTGATGAAGTATACTTTATTATGTCCATTTAAATCTATGGGGAACCTCACGAGAATCACCAACTATATATGACATACTGATTTTTGAAATAGCAATACAATCAACAAAAGTTTAGCCTTCAATGTCTACAATAACAAGGATTATAAAAGGGAAAACAATGGTCCAATCCAGAATATTTTGCTTTAATACACACAACTGACCAAACTTTAAAGTTGAAATAGACAGTTCATGCAATAGACAACTAAATATATAGGAACAACTTTTAATACCAAGTTCCGATTTTAAGCTGATAAAAAAACAAGTTACCGGACGATATGGGGTCCATATGTTCTGGCAGCATTTTCCAACTCTTGCTCGCTCAAACTGAGACGTCCAACTTTATTAGGTTCAGTGCTTAGCGAGCCTCTAATTTCAGTTTTTAACTTCCCAGCATGAATAGCAATTAAACGCCTATATTCCGGAGCTGCATCTTGCACATCTTCGTCCTCCCCGCTTGATTCATCCTGTCAACAATGGTGAGACTGTAATTAAGTTGGTGACATGTAGTGCACTAACTGTCAAAGAAAAATTGACGCTACTCACATTCCCCGTGTCATCAGTTTTGAGTTCATTGCCAACAGCTAGGTTCTCATTCTCCCAAGGTTCTTCCTCTGTTGAAGCCTTCACCTTCTGTGGATTCCCTTTTACCTCCATACTCTGAAACTCAAGGAATTCTTTTGGTGGTTTGGTGGAGATCAAAATTTTTTTCTTCAAAAATTCTGGTGAAGGGAACTCCTTTAGGTCTGACTCAGGGTAGAACAACATGTCTCCAAATGTTCTAGTTACCATCTAATTAAAAACAAAATACAGCCATAGACTCACAAAGACAACTCATTCCAAAACTTTAAAACCGGCTTAAAATTCATGTAGTAGGGTTTTACTCACCCGAGCCACTTTAGCTTGAAGATCTGAATTAAGGTGGTCCTCAAAAGTTACTACAACAGGATATTCAGAAGCATAAAATGCGTACTCCTTAATAGCCCGCAGACACTTGATAAGTTGGACCGGAGTAGTCAGCGTCCTACAGATTTAAGAAATTGCATCACTCAATGCAGAACAAATAAAATTCTAATGGTTGTTAAGTAGGGCAATGGAAGTCAGTTCATCAGCACAAATTTCTTGCTTTATATTACAGCAAATGGCGTGATATTCATACATGATATTCCCATACATTAATGGAATGTGATCGGCTGATCTGATGTCGTAGGTTATAGATGCAAATAAATTTGAGAAGCAATTTCAGGCTTGTGTTAACAAGAGCAATGTTTTGAAGGACATTTTTTATGGATGTGACACTTCATTATCCTCAGATATCTTTGATTTTGTGCAGCTCATTCTTCCATATCCTTTCAAAACCAACTGGATATAATAGCATATGTTATAAATTCTTGCATCATGTAGGGCTAGTATGAAAAATATGATAATGTCGGACATGATATTTGACTTGATATTGCGCATGTATGAAATGCTCCCTTATTTGGATATTATGAATGATGAAACACAATATCAAACAATAACTCCAAAGCAATTCGAGATGCATGTTCCCTAAGCCCTTCACCATCAAAGACTATACTGTTGAACAATGTGTGTAGATGAATTATTGGCTCTAATAAAAAAGAAAAACTCATTTGCTAAGAGAGTTAATTAACAAATGTTAACCTCCCTTTTTGTTCTTTAATGTGTGTAATCAATAAATTGCTAAGCAAAACAAGAAAGGATAACACAACATTTGAATGCCAGATCAGAACACATCAGATGTCTAGAAGCAAATGCAGATTAACTTCATACCCTCCATGTTTAACATCCACATCGTCTCTCGTTGAGTTTGCCCACAAATCCAATTCAATTACTCTTACACCTTTCTTTAGTGCCTTAATGATAGGATCAATACTGCAGTCACTGCTTATTTGATTCCCAGTCAAGTAAGAGTTATGGCCTGTATACATGTAATAATGAGCCAACGGAGCATTCATGTCGTGATGCACCTGAATCCAAGACACTTATCACAAAATCAATATTAAGGGACAGAAGATCAAGATAGTAAGAAAGCCACAGAAATTGTTGGAATGCAAGTAAAAGTGCAAAGATTTGTAGTTTATATGTTAGTAATTTTTCCAAATTTAAAAAAGGCATATAAGGGTTTGCCCTGCAATATAATATGGAGTATGCACCACAAAAACTAATTTAACCCAACCTTTTCCCAATATTTAATTAACAATGCATATAAAGAGTTGAATGCACACAATAAAGTTGCACAGCTTATGTATGTCTGAGAGCAAGGGTTAGATACCAGTAATGTCAAAGACTCAAAAAGTATATGACTATACTGAAAAAACATAGAATGAACTGCATAGACAAGCTTAATGCCCGTTGATGAGAGTATGATATGGCCAGTTCCCTGCTTCCCAGGGTTATCTTGGGGCGTCAGACCTTGTTGAATGACAAATCAATCATTGGTCATTGGGAATTAGAAGCTACAAGAAATCTCAAAACTACTCTTTTAGGAAGAGTAACCACTGGAGCTCCCAGATGTTTAAGTTCCAATTGCCCAGACTGGCTATGCTGCTATTAACTTAATTTCTGACATAAGTCTGGTTCAGTGAAAGTTATTAGCATTCTTTAATTTTCTCATATCAACTTAATATTGAGAAGCATTAACTCAAATTCATACAGAGGCAAATAATGAAAATTTATACCACCTAAAGTTCCAAAAAAGAAAAAAAAAAAAAAACAAATTGTTGATAGTTGCACGGGGTCAACACACATGATCAATTCCAAAATTATGGTGCACAGTGACATTTTAAATGAATTGAAATTTTTTTTTCACACAGCTAAATAATGAGATTTGTCACATAGCCATAACAGGTGAAAGAGCAAGATTGCCAGAATCATGAACAGAGAGAGAGAGAGAGAGAGAGAGAGTAAAATGAGTGAAAGATTACCCCAAGAGATGGTGAGATTGCCAAATTATGATCTCCAATGAGATATCGAAAGAAAGCTTCGAGATGGAGGCCTTTACGTTGGAAGATATTGAGGTGCTTGAGACTGTTGAATATCTCTTGGACTCTCTCGTCCGTTGCATTATCTTCCTCTTGGAATTCCATCAAGAAACTTCGCAAGTAATTGGCACTCATGGTGCCATTATCTGAGTAACTCTCGAAAAGTCTCCTAACATCATCTGGAGGCTCAACCGCCCTCAGCTTGAATCTTCTCCTGAAGCAGAAACAAACCCTGAAATTTTGCTTGGACATTTGTCAGAGAGATCGAGAGAGAGAGAGGGCGAGAGAGAGAGATGCAATGAGAGAAGACAAAAAGAAGAGGTCGGTTGGTTCCATTGATAAATAAGAGGAGGAAGGAAGGTGGTGAGACTGAGGAGCTAACTTTTGGGTTTCTACGTTCTTCTGAGGAATGGCGTCCAATTGGAGTGGGGAATATATTCTTAGCTGAGCTTTGGAATATATTCTTAGCTGAGCTTTGGAGGAATGGCGTGCAATTGGAGTGGGGAATATATTCCATGCTTGATTCCTAAATCCCAGACAATAAATAGCAGTCCTACACAATAAGAAAAGTCATTGCTTTTGTGGCAAATCCAATAAAATTACTCGCCATCCATTGTCCAACAAAAAACTCTACTTCTTAATAAATAGTATAATTATATATTAATTGTAATTTTTTTTTTAAAATTTAATTTTTAATTTTAATTTTATTTCAATAAATATCATAATAGAACATAAATTTTGGTCATAAAATTAAAAATATTTGATATTCAATTTTTGATTGAAGTATTTTTTATCTAAATATAATATTTTAAACTTGAAAAGGTCTAAATATTAGATACCTACAAAATTTAAGGGGTTTAGATGTAATTTATTAACTAATATACTAATGGGTATTGACGGTAATGATATAAGTATTACGCGCGTATAAATTTGAGAAAGTCTATGTGTAACATGTCAAACTTTAAGGGATCTAAGTGATTAAATGACAAATCTTAAAAAATCAACCGTATAAAAATTATCAACAAGAAACAGCCTTCCAATTATTTCATAACAATACAATAGAAATATCTTGAAGCTCATTCGCTGATGTTGTCCATAAAGATGCCAATAAACTAATTATGTCCCATAAAAACTCCATGTTCTATTCATTTCCTACAGAATTCCTACAAAAATTCTGTTAATTCTCTCCATTTACGGCACCCAAAATATGGCCATTATAACACACACACATGGAGACTCATACGACCCACATATACACATACATAAATAGACACACACACATAGGCCCACATATACACGCACACATCTATAATATAGAATAGAACAAGTTTTAATAATGTACCCAACGATCTCAAATAGATTCATCTAACGATCATCAATATCTCTCTTAAAATTATTAACATTACACCGTACTTTTAAGGACGAGTTACCCCTAGTACACACATAAACGCACACACCCACATATAGACACATATAAACGTACACACCCACATATAGACACATACATACAGATGTAACTCAAATCTACATACAGATGCATATAATATATTAGATCTAATGATGCATAAATTGGTTTGCACGCCACCTGTCAAGTAAGCAGTATAAAATGCAGTATAAAATAAGTATAAGGAGAGAGAAGACAAGATTTATAGTGGTTTAGTCAATGTGACTTACGTCCACTTTGAATGGCAAGGGCCACGGGTATTTTAGTAACTCAGGTGTGTAGGGAGAGTAAAGAGTTACAAGCTTTGAAAGGGAGATGGGAGAGTTATGCTCAAATGAGTGTGATGCCCCCCAAGTGTTGGCAGAACTTACAATTTATAGTTGCCTCATAGTAATTGAATAACTAGTCTGTTAGTCATAACAGATTGGGGTGATTTAATGGTAATTAAATAGTTGATCTGACGGAGGTGACGACCTCTTCTCAACGGGCGACGCAATTAAAATACTCTCCATGGGACTCGATCAAAGATGAGGTGAGGGTTGACTCTCTTCAAGGCAATGTGGATGAGGCTTTGGGATAACCCTTACTCTAGGGTGGCTAGGAGGAGGTTCTTGCATAACCCTTACTCCAAGATGGCTAGGAGGAGGCTCTTGGATGACCCTTACTCCAAGGTGGCTAGGAGGAAACTCTTAGATAACCTTGTATACTCTCTGCTGATGTGGCTCCTTAAACTTGATGAGCTTGTTTGAGTTGACCACATTAAGCTGGACTTGTTGGATCTCTTGGAGATGGACTATAAACTCGAACTAGGCTTATAATTTGAGTTAGGCCCTTAGGCTTGGCTCATCAAGATCTATGCATAGATCTACATATCTATGTATAGATCTAGATAAAGCGAAGTTCAACAGAGATGTAGATGAGAGTCCTTCAGTTCTGAAATTGAAGCCCTTTAGACTTTGCCGGCAACTGAGAAAGGTGAGAGAGTCGACAAAGACGACAGAGAGAAACGAGAGAAAAAGAAATATCTGGTGAAAGAGATTTTATAGTTCAATGAAAAAACTCTAATTTTGTGTTAATGGGGTTCGAAGGCTAAATCTCATTGTTGTTTTTGAAATCATATATTTTTTGTTTTTTATTTGCAGTTTTGAGCCTTATTTTTAGACAAATTAGCTCATTTTTTTTGGGCAAAAATTGAAAATAAAAACAATTACCTAGCGAAGCCTTCATTTGCCATTTTTCCACTTACATGCCCGTCAACCAGAGGAGATGAAGGCCTCACTCCATCGTCTCACAATCTCTAGCATCAATCCTTAGCAGTGTTTTAAAATCTAGCCTAGCCCGACTGGTTAAACCCAAAAAATCGGTAAACTAGTGCCTAAGCCGAACCGATTTCATAATTAGATTGATTAAGCAATTGCCTTGCTTGAGAACTATTCAAACTAGTCAAAACTGGACAACTTTTATGAAATCGTTGCAAACCGCTCCGGTTTGCAGTTCCATGCCAATATAGGAATATAAATTGGGAGTATTACACTTAGACTCTTTAAAGTTTGTCACTTAATCACTTAAACCCCATAATATTTGAAATATCACACACAGACATCCTAAAATTTGTACCCATGTAACACTTAGACTCCTATCGTTAACATCCGTTAGTAAATTATATCTAAATCCCTTAAAAATTATATATGTATAATATTTAGACCCCTCGAGTTTAAAATATTATATTTAAACTAAAAATACTCTAATCAAAGATAGAATATCAAATATTTTAAATTTTACAACAAAAAATCATATTCAATTATATCATTTATTGAAATAAAATTAAAAATAGAAATCCAATTTTTTTCTTACAAAATCGTAATTAGTATATACAATTATATTATCTATTAGAATAAAACTAAAAAAATTAAATAAGGGGTCTAAGTCATTCATAATAGAACATGAATTTTACAACTAAAATTCATGTTCTATTATGTCATTTACTGAAATAAAATAAAAATTAAAAATATAATTTTTTCTTAAAAAATTATAATTAGTATACAACTATACTATCTATTGAAATAAAATTAAAAAATTAAATAAGGGATTAAACTGTAATTGACACAATATTTTTTAGCTTTAATTGGGAGTGATTTGATCGTTTAAATGACCAAATTAAATTCCAATAGATAGTATTGATATATAATAATTATGATTTTCTAAGAAAAAATTATATTTTTATTTTAATTTTATTTCAATAAATGTCATAGTAAAACATGATTTTTGGTTGTAAAATTTAAAATATTTAATATTCTATCTTTAATTGAAATATTTTTTGTTTAAGTATAACATTTTAAATTTGAAGGGTCTAAGTAATACACGCTTACGAATTTTTGGAGGTTTGAGTGTAATTTACTAACAGATATACTAATGAACATTGACGATAAGGATCTGAGATCTAAATGTTTTGTGCATATAAATATTAGATGTTCTATGTATAATATTTTAAATATCAGAGTTCTAAATAATTAAGTGACAAACCTCACAGATCTTGGTGTTATTCTCCCATCTAAATTTTAACACTTAACTTATAGATGGCCCGCTTTAAAAGGCAAACGCCACTGCATCAATGACATGCTTTTCGAAAGCAATCAATACTCATCTCTCATTGTCTGTGTCGATGTGAGACTATATGTAGTATATTTAAAAATGACATGATTATTCTTCGGCTCTTCTATTTTATCATTTCCTTTTAGTTTACATTTGAGCTATTTTCCCTTTCTTCCACTTTTTATTTTATTGTTTTAGCTCATCACATTGTTACTGTTTTTATTAAATATTCAATACCTATTAGTAAATTTTTTTATATTCTTGCACAGGTGAATTCTTGCAATGAATTAAGATTACAATATGATAAACGATCCTGGATGATGAACCTAATACAATCAAAGGATTAGGAAGGGGGTCGGGTACGTACCAGACTAATTCCCTCCGAAGATCAAGTCAGTTGACATTAGAGTCATCAACACAATGTATTCTCTATTTTCAGATTGCATACCTTAGCCAGCTTCTTCTAGAGTATTTATACCTGGGTTTGCAATGATAGTAATGCCCTTGAGTCCCATTTTAGAATTTAATGGCCTGCACTCATATCCTAGCATAATGAGTGGCATCCAATCAAATCTTCTTAGGACTAGTCTATGGGCGAGTGGACCTATGCTCGGGACCCACCGAACATTCATGGCTCAACCCCCAGTCATTAAATACCTCTTCTTGGTACTTGACACATACGTCTGAGCACTCACTAGTTGGGAATAAGCACCCTCAGGGTTGACTGATTACTTCATATTGGTGTAATAGTCATTAATGCCTCATAATGATGACTGTGTCTGCACTTTTCGAGGATCTGGACACTCATTAATGGCTCTGTTGTAGCCATTCAAGACCCCCATTAATGAGTTATCAGATCTTTTTTAATGCTAGGCTCTGAGGGTCGTACTTGACCCTTTCTAACATAACTCCTCGTCGTTTTTTTCAGGCGCGCTTTGAGCGCCCTAACAGCTGTAACTGCCCATGTGTCCATTAATGATGACTGTGTCTGCCCTATCAACTGCTCTCCAGCCTTCATTTTTTTTACGTCATGAGACAGGTGACGCACGAAGAGTGGAGGCTTCCTCAGCACACCTGAATTTTAGGGGCAGTTACCCACATGTCTGGCGCCGGATTTCAAATTTTCAATTGATGGCTTGTTTCCTCGATTCCTGCTCACGTCGCAACCAGCAAAAATATGGGAATTTGTGGCCCATACGAGACTCTTTGGATTTTC